TCCTTCTTGATATCAGTTCCCCATTAGCCCCACACCTCCCCTGCCATACCCCCTATAAACCCTTAATCTAGTTATTGTCACTACAGACTCACCCACTCTGGATTTCACATACCAAAAAACATTTAAAAAATACATAACAGAGTCAACAATGCTACCAATAACCAAATACAACAAAGATAAACCCCAGTTAAAAAAAAAACAAACAAGATCTCATGGAACACTAAAACACAGATCAAGCCAAAGTGTGCCAAAATGGAGATCAAATGGTAAATCAGATTTTTTTCCATCTTAATCTACTATATTTGCCTCTACAATCCTGTCTGATAACTAGGCTATCCCCATCCCTCAATTTTGATCAAAGGGAAATCACTCGAGGCTTATTCTATGTGTAGATCCTGCAAATGTATTTTGGGCTTCCACTGTCATCCATAAATTTAAGCTCTGATACCAGTCCCTCTTTCGGATTTGGATGATATTAGTTACAATCCTTGGCTCCTGAGTGTTGGTGTGCTTCTTTCATGTAAGCTTAACTGCTTTCTCATTTACATGGCTGCCTGTTTGAAAACAAGCCTTTAAAACCTCAGATGTTATTCTTTCTGGTAGCCAGGCACCATCTAGTTTCACCATACTTGTTTGTAGCACCCCTTCTGTTTCTTCCTTCATGAGGTTATGCGATTGAGTAATCCTGACCATAGGTGATAACTCATTGCCATGGAGTTGATGTGGACTCACAGCGACCTTATAACACAGGGTAGACCTGCCCCTGTAGGTTTCCAAGATTCTAACTCCTGCTGACCTTGCAGATCACAGCCCATCTTGTAACCACTACATTACCAGGGCTTTGTGATATTCCTGAGTGAGCACAAAATGCTATCTTGAGCAGATGCCTTGAAGCTATACATGCCTGAAACCAAAATGTACCAGAAAGAGGTCTGGGCTATTGAGAATTATAATGGACCATTGTCTTCCTTCATACCTAAAATTGATGGTACTTTTACCAACGTGGTAGAAGAAAAGGACTTCCGCTTTTTCCTGTGTTGGGCATGTTTCTGCCTAGCTTCTTGTCTAGTTCTCCCCAAAGCTAAGAGAAATTACTACTGTAATTATTCAAGAGTCCAAAACTGAACCGATAGCAATGATGAATGTATAACACCCCCCCCCCAACCAGGAGATGAACAACAGAAACGTGGGTGAAGGGATACAGCAGACGGTGTAAGATATGAAAAAAAATGATAATAATATATAATTTATCAAGGGTTCACAGGGTGGGAGGGCGGTTGGGAAAAAAGAGGTGTTGATGAAAAAAGAGGTGTAGAAAGATAATGTTTTGAAAATGACGATGGCAATATATGTACAAGTTTACTTTATGTAACTGATTGATGGATTGTTATAATATCTGTAAGAGCCCCCAATAAAAGGATTTAAATTAAATAAATAAATACAAACTGCCCCCTCCAAAAAAAAGTCCAAAACTGATTCATAATCTGGATAGGTTCCATTTCCAGTTCGGAGGTGGAGGTGCTGTGGAGAGAGCCTGGCGCCCTCTGGACTCTCCGGGGAACAAGGGCCTTCTCTTGCACTTCTCTCCCCCTCAAGGTGACAAGGTGATTTCTCTCAGGACCTGGCATTCATCCCCATTAGTTTGTTCTCCCAGCATCCTTCTCACTCACACACCTGAAGCCTCAAGATTCTGGCAGGAGGGAAGTAGGCCGTAAGCCTACATTGTGTGCCCAACAAGTCAGCTGGAGTGGTATACAGAGAAGTGGTATACTGGTGTCCTGGGAGTTTGCATCAAAACCCCCCCAAAACAAACCCCCTTCCATTGAGTCGATTCCAATTCATAGAGACCCTCGAGGGCAGGGTGGGTTTCCAAGGCTGAACTTGACATGAGCAGAAAATCTCATCTTTCTCCCAAGGAGTGGCTGGTGGTATCAAACAGCTGCCCTTGTGGTGAACAATCCAACTCATAACCGCTACGCCACCAGGGCTCCTCTTCCAGGAGCTCGCACGTGCTAATTAAAGTGGCACCCTGATTTCTACTAGCTATCGCACATGGACGGAGAGTCCCTGACGCCTCCTCCAGAAGGAGAGTAAGCTGGGCAGTTCTGGTTGTAATAAATGCTTCAAGGGAGCACCAACGCCTTGCCAGCAGACCCTGGAAGCCATAACCGTTTATTACAGAGAAAAACGCTCATGACCCAGACAATAGAAACCCCATAGGGCAGGGCAGAGATGCCCCATAGGGTTTCCAAACATATACCTTTACAGGAGAAGAGGGACACATCTCTCTTCCATAACGCAGCTGCTGAGTTTGAACTACTGATATTTCAGTTCACAGCAGAGCACTTAATCATGAGGGGCCACCACGGCTCCTAATACCTCATGAAAACTCTTCCTAAATAAACGAAGAAGAATATCAACAAAACAGTAGAGCTATTCAGTTGGTGCACAGCAACACAACCACTTCAGTCCTCTACCTATGGCATCTGTTTTGTTGCCCACATCATGTAAGTAATTAAATAAAGTGAT